GACAGAATTATTTCACAGGCCCTGAGGACTCGTGCTGCAAAAGCAACGATATTTCCTGAATTCACCAACTCATCAACTTGTATCTCAGCTGAGCACTGGGAATTGTTTGTTTGAAATGATTGGTTTTTTTTTCACAAAAAGTTCCTTTCTCTTATGTCCACGCATCATACAGAAACGTCGAAAAGTAGTTGCAAGATTTAGCCATTTGGCCTGTTGAGACTGCACTGTTATTTCATATGATCATGGCCAACCGTCTTCTTGAATCCTGCATCCAATCTGCCCAGCCCCGTCTGCATTTTGTATGTTTTAATGAGATGCCTCTTATTCTCCTAAACTCCGGGGAACGCAGTTGACCTAGTCTGCCCACGTCTAACAGCCCTGCCGTCCTAGGAATCAGTCTGGTGAACCCTCACTGGGTTAGCTGGATGGCAGACTTTTGCAATGCAGAATGATGCCAATGGCTCAGCTTCAATTTCTGCTCCTCCTCAACCTCTCCCCCTTGCCTGAGGCATGGTGACCCTCAGGTTAAACCACCATCCATTATCTCTCTCTATTGAGACAACAGCCCTATGGTCGGGTAAGACTTTGGCAATTTTACATTTACTCTGCGCAAGCGTACCTTTTTCCTAAGTTAGGAGATGAAAACTACACAAACCACTTACACCAGATGTGGTCTGCACAAGGTCTCACAAATCGTCCTGTTGGGTACCTCTAATGATGAAGAGAAGAGCTGCCATTGATATTGGTGAACATGTGATAAAGCTGGTGAGATGGACTCCATGGACCTGGAGGTGGTAACCCCTCGAGTTTCTACCTCCGTCTCTCGGACTAAGTGTGTATTGCCCTCTCAGTCTCTTGTGAAAGTCTTTCTGAGATTGGGGAACTCATAACCCTTCAGGATCTCAATGACTTGAATGGCTCAGTGATGCTGACACTCCACAGGGTTACTGAGAGCGTGCTACACTGTCTGAGATGGGTATGTTCGACCTGTTCAGGTGGGCATTGAAAACCCATGGTGTAACCCAGACAAGTGCAGACCATCTAGTGTCTGTGAGCCAGATAAGGATCAGCTCGGTGGTTATTCGGGCTGCTTGGAGGAGTTTGTTGTGTGTCAATTGGTTTCCACGTTCATGGGACAGTGGAACCTGGCTGCAAAACTCTTTAAGAATGTCCTGAGGACTAAAGAAAGTCTAAAGTTGCTATTCCGTTAAAACAAAATCCTGTGGATGAATCCTATCATAGGATCCCTACAGTATGGAAACATGCAATTTGAGCCCACACCAGCCCTCCAAAGATCATCCCACCGAGACTTACCCCCTGGCTGTATCCCTACACTACCCATGGTTAACCCATTTTTGGACTGTGGGAAGAAACCCACACAGACACAGGGCGAATATGCAAACTCCACACAGACAGTTGCCCAAGAGTGGAATTGAACCCACATCCATTGTGCTGTGAGGCAGCAGTGCTAACCACTGAGCCACCCCTGCTGGTTGCTGGAAACAAGCACAGAGAATTCTGGAGAAACACAGCCGGTCTGTGGAGAGAGCGAGAAACAGAATTAATGTTTGGAGTCTGGTACAACTCTTCTTCAGAGTTCTGCAGTAGGTCTGAAGAAAATTCATGCTAGACTCGTAACATTAACTCTGTTTCCCTTTCCACAAACGGTGTCATACCCTCTGAGTTTCTCCAGCATTCTCTGTGTCAGCTGTCCCTTCTTCATTGACGTTTGACCCACCAGAAAAGAGGAATGAAGAGATGGATTGAAGTGAGTGAAGTCTTGATGAAGCTAATGCTAAATGGAAAGTGTTTCAAACTGGGGATAGGACAGAAAGTAGGAAGGGGGGAGAAATGCCAGAGAGTTGTAAAAGTGAATTAAAGTCACTGTTGTCTTATCAGATCATAGGGCTGCTCCATCATTACAGAGAGATGACTGGTGTTGGTTTAACCTGAGGGTCACCATGCCTCAGGCGAGGGAGAGGTTATGAAGTAGATTCCTTCACGGGAACCTCAGCTGATTTGGGAATTGAACTCATGCTATTGGCATCAATCTGCATTGCAAACCAGGAATAGGCCAATCGGCCCCTCGAGCCTGCTCTGCTGTTCAACAGGAGCATGGCTGAACTGACATTCTTGAGGTCCACTTTCCCTGCAATTTCCTCATCACCTTTGATTCGCCTTGATGGTGCGAGGTGTAAGTGTCTCTATTTTTTTCCCTTCTTGCCTTGCAGATTAAGGTGGGAGGTCTGGAATTCTCGCCAGGCGTACTGCACATCTACTCAGACAGGCTTCTCACCATGCCAGCTGCGTTGGGCATTGGCGGAGGGGGTGCCCTCTTACTGCTCATTATCATCATTGTCCTCATCGCCTACAAGAGGAAGTCGCGGGATGCAGATCGCACTCTGAAGAGACTCCAGTTGCAAATGGACAACCTGGAGTCGCGTGTGGCTCTGGAATGCAAGGAAGGTAGGAGCTGAAATCGCCAATTCTATAGCGCGTGCAACCTCTCTGAACATTTCCTCTCTCTTCTCAGGGAGCAATTTCTTTTTAAGATGGGGAGTTCTGTCAGAATTACAGCTCAGAAACATGGCCAGCATGGTAGGCAGGCTGAGAGTGTTTTTGGAAGTGAGTACATGTTCTCTGGAATAAACAGCTAGCTTAATGGTAACCATGTCACCCACTGTCAACTGTCATATCCTGGTTCACTAATGTCCTTTAGGGAAGGAAATCTTCCATCCTCACCCGGTCTGGCCTACATGTGACTCCAGACACACAGCAATGCGGTTGACTATTGAACTGCCCTGTGAAATGACCAATAACACCATCAATTCAAAGACAATGAGGGATAGCATTCCTACACGGTGGGAGCAGGCCATTTGGCCCATCAAGTCCGCACTGACCCTCTGAAGGGCAGCCCACCTAGAACCACTCATCCCCCCCGACCCTATCCCCATAGCCCCATATTTCCCTGAACACTATGGGCAATTTAGCATGGCCAATCCACCTAAGCTACACATCTTTGTGACTGTGGGAGGAAACCAGAGCACCCGGAGGAAACCCACACGGACACGGGGAAGAATGTGCACACCCCGCATAGACAGTCGCCCGAGGGTGGAATCAAACCCGGGTCCCTGGCTCTGTGAGGCAGCAGGGCTAACCACTGAGTCACTGTGCTGCCTGGAAACACTCTAGACACTGCCAGAGAAGTTCACACCTCGTGTTTAGAAAGGATTGTGTGTGCCCTTCTTTGTGAAGGAGTGACAGATTTGTTCCATGGGGCCTAAAATCGACAACTATTCAGAATTGTGCTCAAGTCTTTGGGAATTCATCTCCTGGGCATGGTCAGCACTTAAAAATTCTGGGAGATAAAACACACAGGTGTTTTTTAAAAGGTATTATATTTTTATGCCGCTTTAACAGTTTTTCCTGTCGGTAAGAAAAACATGGAGAAGTGGGGAATGTGGATGTTTAACTGGGAATATCAGATCAGTCATGATCAAATGGCCTCATTCTGCCCCTATATCTTATAGTCTGATAAAGGCAGCTCCAGGCAGAAAGATGTGGGATGAAATCTCCAGTAACACATCCAACTGGAGTTTCAGAGATAGTAGGAACTGCAGATGCTGGAGAATCTGAGATAACAAGGTGTAGAGCTGGATGAACACAGCAGGCCAAGCAGCATCAGAGGAGCAGGAAAGCTGATGTTTCGGGCCTAGACCCTTCTTCAGAAATAGGGGAGGGGAAGGGGTTTCTGAAATAAATAGGGAGAGAGGGGGAGGCAGATAGAAGATGGATAGAGGAGAGGATAGGTGGAAAGGAGACAGACAGGTCAAAGAGGCGGGGATGGAGCCAGTAAAGGTGAGTGTAGGTGGGGAGGTAGGGAGGGGATAGGTCAGTCCAGGGAGCACGGACAGGTCAAGGGGGTGGGATGAGGTTAGTAGGTAGGAGATGGGGGTGGGGCTTGAGGTCGGAGGAGGGGATAGGTGGGAGGAAGAACAGGTTAGGAAGGTGGGGACAAGCTGGGCTGGTTTTGGGATACGGTAGGGGGAGGGGAGATTTTGAAGCTTGTGAAGTCCACATTGATGCCATTGGGCTGCAGGGTTCCCAAGCAGAATATGAGGTGCTGTTCCTGCAACCTTCGGGTGGCATCATTGTGGCACAGCAGGAGGCCCAAGATGGACATGTCGTCTGAGGAATGGGGGGGGGAGTTGAAATGGTTCGCGACTGGAGGGTGCAGTTGTTTAGTGCAAACCGAGCGTAGGTGTTCTGCAAAGCGGTCCCCAAGCCTTCACTTGGTTTCCCCGATGTAGAGGAGGCCACAACGGGAACAGCGGATACATTTTTCCACATTAGTCTTCTTGGGGCCTGGGATGGGGGTGAGGGGGGAGGTGTAGGGGCAGGTGTTGCACTTCCTGCGGTTGCAGGGTAAAGTGCCGGGTGAGGTGGGGCTGGAGGGGAGTGTGGAGCGGACAAGGGAGTCACGGAGAGAGTGGTCCCTCCGGAAAGCAGGTAAGGGTGGGGAGGGAAAAAAAGCTTTGGTGGTGGGGTCAGATTGCAGATGGCGGAAGTGTCGGAGGATGATGTGTTGGATCCGGAGGTTGGTGGGGTGGTACATGAGGATGAGTGGGATTCTGTTTTGGTTGTTATTGCGGGGAGGGGGTGTGAGGGATGAGTTGTGGGAAATGCAGGAGACACAATCGAGGGCGTTCTTGACCACTGAAGGGGGGAAGTTGCGGTCCTTGAAAAACGAGGACATCTGACATGTTCGCGAGTGGAATGCCTCATCTTGGGAGCAGATGCAGCGGAGGTGAAGGAATTGGGAATAGGGGATGGCATTTTTGCAGGAAGGTGGGTGGGAGGAGGTGTATTCTCGGTAGCTGTGGGAGTCGGTGTGCTTGAAATGGATATCGGTTTCCAGGTGGTTGCCAGAGATGGAAATAGAGAGGTCCAGGAAGGAGAGGGAGGTATCAGAGATGGTCCAGGTGGACTTAAGGTTGGGGTGGAAGGTGTTGGTGAAGTGGATGAACTGTTCGAGCTCCTCGTGGGAGCACGAGGCGGTGCCGATACAGTCATCAATGTAATGGAGGAAGAGGTGGGGTTTAGGGCCAGTGTAGGTACAGAAGAAGGATTGTTCCATTAACCTACAAAGAGGCAGGCATAGCTTGGGCCTATGCGGGTACCCATGGCCACCCCCTTTGTCTGTAGGAAGTGGGAGGAATTGAAAGAGAAGTTGTTGAGGGTGAGGACGAGTTCGGCGAAGCGGATGAGGGTGTCAGTGGAGGGGGACTGGGCGGGCCTGCGGGACAGGAAGAAGCGGAGGGCCTTTAGGCCATCTGCATGGGGAATGCAGGTGTAGAGGGACTGGACGTCCATGGTAAAGATGAGGTGTTGGAATTGGAAGTCTTGGAGGAGGTGGAGGGCATGGGTGGTGTCACGGACATAGGTAGGGAGTTCCTGGACCAAGGGGGAGAAAATGGAGTCCAGATAGGTGGAGATAAGTTCGGTGGGGCAGGAGCAGGCGGAGACAATGGGTCGACCAGGGCAGTCAGGTTTGTGGATTTTGGGAAGGAGATGGAAGCGGGCGGTGTGGGGTTGGGGAACGATGAGGTTGAGGCTGTGGGTGGGAGGTCACCTGAGGTGATGAGGTTGTGGATGGTTTGGGAGATGATGGTTTGGTGGTCGGGGGTGGGGTCATGAGCAAAGGGCAGTCGGAGGAGGTGTCGGAGAGTTGGCGTCTGGCCTCGGCGATGTAGAGGTCAGTACGCCATACTACAACTGCGCCTCCCTTGTTCATGGGTTTTATGGTGAGGTTAGGGTTGGAGCGGAGGGCTGCAAGTTCCGTAGGGGAGAGGTTGGAGTGGGGGAGAGGTTGGAGTGGGTGAGAGGGGTGGAGAGGTTGAGGCGATTGATGTCACGACGGCAGTTGGAGATGAAGAGGTTGAGGGAGGGTAGCAGGCCTTGGGGTGGTGTCCAGAGGGAGGGGGTGTGTTGGAGGCAGGAGAAGGGATCAGTAGAGGGAGGGTTAGGCTCACGATTAGGCAAACTCCAACTGGAGTTTGTAACCTTGTATGGCCCACATCCAAATTTAAACTCATTTAGAATTCTGCTGCCCATACCCTAACTCACACCCAGTCCCCTGGTGATCCTGAGGACACTCAGAGAATAGTACCTGTTTTGGGGGACACTGGAATTAGGGGGCACAATTTAAGAATTGACAGTATAATTAGGAGCAGAAGTCGGCCATTCAGCCCATTGAGTTTGCTCTGTCATTCACTGAGATCATGGCTGCTCTGATAACCCTCAACACCACTTTCCTGCCTTTTCCCCATGACCCTTACTGATTAAGAATCTGTCTCTCTCAGCCTTGAATATACTTAATGACCCAGCCTCGACAGCCCTCTGTGGTAAAGAATTTTACAGATTCACTCCTGTTTGAAAGAAGAAATTCCTCCTCATTTCTGTCTTAAATGTGCGACCTCTCATTCTGAGATTATTCCCTGTGTCTCTAGACTCTCCCACAAGGGGAAACATCTTTCTGCATCTACCCTACCATGCTCCTTAAGAGTCTTAAACAGAAACTATGTGTGTTCTGAGGAAGAGTCACTGGACTTGAAACATTAACTCTGCTTTCTATCCACAGATGCTGCTAGACCTGCTGAGCTTTTCCAGCAATTTTTGTTTTTGCTCCTAAGTATCATATATGTTTCTGTAAAGTCACCTCTCATTCTTCTAAACTCTGAGTACAGGCCCAATTGACTTAACTTCTCCTCATGTGAAGCGGCCTCCCTTTTAACACGGAGGTGATGAGAATTTTTTCTCCTGTGAGTGTTTTAGTCTGTGAAATCTTTTCCCCTGAAGTAATTGAGGCTGGGTCAGAACTTATTCAAGGCAGAATTCAGTAGATTTCCCATAGACAAGGGAATTGAAAGCTGTGGTGGGGTGGGAGGGGAGGAAAGCGGGGTCTGCCTGATGGAAGAGGTTGAAAGAGAGTATAACCGGGGTGGGGAGGGGTCTTTGATTATGTTGGTTGCTTTCCTGAGGTAGCAGGAAGTACAGATGGAGTCAATGGATGGAAGGCTGGTTTGTGTGATGGAGTGGGCTGTGTTCACAACTCTCTGTAGTTTCTTATGGTCCTGGGCATAGCAGTTGCCATACCACACTGTGATGCATCCAGATAGAATGCTTTCTGTTGTGTAGCCATAAAAATTGATAAGAGTCCTTGTGGACATGCTAATTTCCTTAGCCTCCTGAGGAAGTAGAGACGTTGGTGCGCTCTCTTCACTGTAGCGATGGACCAGGACAAATTGTTGGTGATCATCAGTCCCAGGAACTTGCATCATCCCTTATGTACAAGGAAGGCTGTTTTATCTCTTAGTCGAGTAATTTTGTAAAGTTGTTTTAAAGTGTTTTGTTTAGATTTAAGAGTGTATCTGTGAAACACTTTGTAGGATGTCTTACGCTTTTGTATAAAGGATGCGTTGGTGTTGGGGGAACGTATGAGAAAGGGCTTGTGCCACAGACCTGGGGCGGCACGGTGGCTCAGTGGTTAGCAATGCTGCCTCACAGCATCAGGGACCCGGGTTTGATCCCACCCTCGGGCGACTGTCTGTGTGGAGTTTGCATATTCTCCCCGTATCTGTGTGGGTTTCCTCTGGGTGCTCCGGTTTCCTCCCACAGTCCAAAGATGTGCAGGATAGGGGAATTGGCCATGGGAAATGCAGGGTGATAGGGTGGGTCTGGGCAGAATGCCCTTTGTTGGGGGGATTGGTGTGGATGTGATGGGCTGAATGGCCTGCTTCCGCACTGTAGGGATTCTATGATTCATATGCAGAGAGCTGATAAGTGCTGGAACTCATTACTTACAAGGTTGGGTGAAGTGATGACGATGAAATAGGATGGGCACTTGAGGGAAATAAAACTTCCAGGGATAGAGATGGAATTGATTGGAATTTGCTGCAGAAAGCTAGCATGGGCCTGTAGCTCTGAATGGTCTCCTTTTGTGCTGTAATGAATGTTCCTTTCTTAATCCTTCCACTTCAGGGCCCAGTCACTGGTGTGCCGGGGAGACTCAGTGACCGGCTACAGATAACAAGCAATTAGGATTTGTCCCTCAGTTTGAACTATGGGAGATCGACACGTCTGCATGTTATTTAACAAGGACCGCGTAGCCCTGAACGCACCAGAGAGCTTCATTAGGTGCTTGTTCTGAGACATTCTATCCACATATTCTGTCATTTCCCTTTTCAAAACTATTATTAACAAGCTGCCAACAAAGAGGAACATAAGCCTTACAATACACCTCAGGAATGGTGTTTAGGGAAGGACAGGGGATTTTTTATTCAGTGTTAGCTGGTAAGGCTAACATCACTGCTTGCTGCAAGTATAAGTGCATTTTCATTTGGAGTTTAGTAAACTGAGGTCGTTTAGCTCAGTTGACTGGATGGCTAATGCAGAGTGATGCTAACAGAGTGGGTTCAACTCCTGCATCAGCTGAGGTTACCACAAAAAACTCTTTCCTTCTCAACCTCTCCCCTTGCCTGAGATGTGGTGACCCTCAGAATAAACCATCTCTCTCTATTAGGGGATAGTAGGACTATCAAGACCTTACAAGGTGTGTAAGATCTGTGGCAGAAGGTTCAATAATGAGAGGGTACAGATCTAAGACATTAGGCTGGAGTGGAAGTGTTTCCTGTAGGAGCAGGAATACACCTTTCAGCCCATCTAGCTTGCTGTGCCATTCTAGATCAAGTCTGATCACCGAGCTCAATGCCATATTCCTGCACTGTCCCAAATCCCTCAAAGTCATTAGTAACTAGAAATCTATCAGTGAGTGGCCATCTGCAGTATGCAGCTGTAAAAACTGGTGAAAAACCGATTTAACAATAACTTTGAGCTGCTCAGAGGGGAAAAGTTAGGGGGAGGGGTGCAACAGGGAGAAAGCTGGGTTATAAGTGGATGGCACTTTGAAAGAGGACCTGATGGGCTGAACAGCCTCCCTCAGTGTTGTATCATTCTGTAATCCTCTTGACATTCCAAACTGCGTACCCTTCAAACGGATATTCCTGTGGGATTGTTATCTGATACATTCCATCTTTTCTTTAACTGCATCCCCCCACCCCCCTACTCCAAACCCTCCTTTTGCGATGGATTCTCTTCTGGTTGAGGGATAGGCTGTGGCCTCCTTTGTTTTTAATTGGTGGCCGGAAATGAAAATTATGCTCTGCGCTGCAAATGGGGAGAATTCTATCTTTCTTTCTGAAAGTGTGCAATCTATATTCGTAACCATGCCACGGGAGGCCACTTCGCTGATGCTTTGACCTGCGTTCAATGTCACGTCTGTGCCTCAGAATTTGTAAAAACCTTTCACAATACGGCCATGAGAGTCAGCATGCTCTTGCATTGCTTCCTGACATTTCATGACTTACCGACGATGGCTCGGATAACTGAAGCTTTGCTTATGGTTATTTCCAAAGAAAATAACAGACAACACATGAGGTACTCTGGTCCCTGATTTAACATAGAGATCTTGCTCTATCTCTCTCTGTATTCCTCCCTCTCTCTCCCTCGCCATCACGCTCTCTCTATCACTCCATTTACGTCTCAATCTCTGTCTATCTCCCTGTCTGTTTTTCTCTCTCTATCTCTCTCTCTCTATCTGTATCTATCTCTGTCTCTCTTGTTCCCTCTCTATCACACGGAAAGTCAGGAAGGCTCATTTAATGTGCTGGTGCAGATACATTGGACCAAATGACCTCCTTCTGTACCATGGCCCTTCTGTGATTCTGTCTATGGTGTTAAAATGTGGCGTTGTTAATACTTCGTGCATTTTTCTTTTCATTGCTCTGCCTTTCATCATGGATCCTGAAAGATCTGCCAACAACCATCCTGATCACAGCTCAGGCCTGAGCTAGAGACGGTGGGCACTAGACTTCAGGCAGAATGTCGTCTTGTGTGCAGCGCAGGCTTATTAGAACTAGAGCAAGGATGAGGGGTTTCCACTCCCTGGAGAGAATGGAGAAGCCGAGAATGTTCCCGTTAGAGTAGCGAAAGATGAGGAGGAGATTTAATAAAACTGTTTAAAATTCCAAGGGGCTTTGAGAGAGCATTTAGGAGGAACTGTTTCCAATGACAAGAGGGTCAGTAACCTGAGGATGGAGATATAAGAACAGTATCAGAAGACAGAGATAACAAGGTGTAGAGCTGGATGAACACAGCAGGTCAGGCAACATCAGAGGAGCAGGAAAGCTGACATTTCGGGTATGTACCCTTCTTCAGAAATTTCCCGACCCGAAACGTCAGCTTTCCTGCTCCTCTGATGCTACCTGGCCTGACGTGTTCCTCCAGCTCCACACCTTGTTATCTCAGACTCCAGCATCGGCAGTTCCTACTATCTCTCAGTGTCAGAAGACGACAGGTTAATTATCTTTACATATTGCAAGTTGTTGTAAGCTAGATTGTGGTACCTACTGGGGCAGTGGGGGCCGACTTAGTGGTAACTTCCATCAAGGGAATTGGATGTATCCTGGAAGTGGGAAAACATTGCAGGACAGCGGGCAAAGAACAGAGAGAGGGTTGGGTTAGTGTGCGTTAGCAGTGGGTCTCCTAATCAGATGTTTCTCTCAAAGGGCTAGCATTGGCATATAGGGCTGAATGGTGATTGCCAAGGTGGTATGATTCTGTCTCACGGTGCTTTCTCTGCCTTCCAGCATTTGCTGAACTGCAGACCGATATCCACGAGCTGACCAGTGACCTGGATGGTGCCGGGATCCCGTTCCTCGACTACCGAACCTACGCCATGAGGGTCCTCTTCCCGGGGATAGAGGATCACCCAGTCCTCAAGGAGATGGAGGTATCAGACCCCACCCTGCTGACTTCTGGAACAATTGGGGCACTGCATTCTGTCCCAGGACCTGCAAACGTGACGCCACACCTCGCCGCGCTCACCCTCCCCTGCCCCAAACCCACCTTCCACTCAGAATCAATATCACCTCTCCAGCTTCCTTTAATCATGACTGACTCCTAACCCATGGGATTAGTCCCTTTGTCTGGGTTTCAGTGAGAAGCTTAGTTGTATTCATTCACGGGATGTGGGCGTCGCTGGTTGGCCAGCATTTATTGCCCGTCCCTAGTTGCCCCTTCAGAAGGTGAGGGTGAGCTGCCTTCTTGAACCACTGCAGTCCATGTGCTGTAAGTTGAGCCACAATGCCCTAAGGGAGGGAATTCCAGGATTTTGACCCAGTGACAGTGAAGGAACGGTGATATATTTCTGAATCAGGATGGTGAGTGGCTTGGAGGGGAACTTGCAGGGGGTGGTGTTCCCATGTATCCGCTGCCCTTGTCCTTCTAGATGGGTTTGGAAGGTGCTCTCTAAGGAGACTTGGTGAATTAATGCATTGCATTTTGTAGTGATCATCATAACAATAAAAAAAGTTTCAGTGACAGATCCTTCCTTGAGCATTTAAGCCCTCCCTCAAGCTTTGTGTAGTGCGTGTGATGTGTGTAAAAGTTTCAAGCCCACCAATGAAGTTGTTGGAGTTATAGTAAAGCGATCACTCATCCACTGGCTGCATTTGCTCAGATGTTTTTCACCCAAAATGTGGAACATTTTCCCACAAGAAAAGAAAAAGACATCACCTCAAATCATCATTTTAAATCCGGGATTGATAAATTTTGGTACGAAAGGGTGCAGCACCATTGTCTCATTAAATGGTAGAACAGCCCTAGGTGGCTGAATGGCCTCCTTTCAACATGAGAGCTCCCTGGGATAATAGGACGTTGGTTGGCTAGATGACGGGTTTGTGATACAGGGTGCTGCCAACAGCATGGGTTCAATTCCCACATCAGCTGAGTTTACCATGAAGGACCCTCCTTCTCAACCTTTCCCCTCGCCTGAGGGATGGTGACCCTCAGGTTATGCCACTGTTAGTTATCTCTCTCTAATGAGAGAGCAGCCCTATGGTCTCCTGGGGCTACAGCTACTCACCACTACAGTCATTGCTGAGAGGCTGCTTCCCCCTGTTGGAGAGGCTGGAAATAGCAGGAACAGTCCAGGAGCCGAGATAACAAGGTGCAGGGCTGGATGAACACAGCAGGCTAAGCAGCATCATAGGAGCAGGGAGGGTTGAGGCCCGAAACGTCAGCTTTCCTGCTCCTATGATGCTGCTTGGCCTGCTGTGTTCATCCAGCTCTGCACCTTGTTATCTCAGATTCTCCAGCATCTGCAGTTCCTACTATCTCCGACACAGTGCAGGAGCCAGCCATTTTGGATTGAGATGAAGAGATAATTCTTCATTCAAATAACCATGAATCTTTGTAATTCTTCATCCCAAAGGGCTGTGGATGCTCAGTCTTTAAGTATAATCAAGGCTGGGATGAACAGATCCTTGAACTCTGCACTGATTTCCATTGGGGAAGGCAGTAGAACATAGAACATAGAACAGTACAGCACAGTACAGGCCCTTCGGCCCACGATGTTGTGCTTACCTATTATCCTAATCTAAGATCAAACTACCCTGCATACCCTACATTTTACTATCATAAAAAATGATAGTAAATTGTATCTGCCATCCTTACCTGGTCTGGACTACACATGACTCTAGACCCTGAATGATGTGGTTGACTCTCAACTGCCCACTGGGAAATTAAAGATTAAATACTGGCCTGCCCAGTGACATCAACATCGTGTGAATGAATTAAAAAAAAGGATCCACAGCTGCCAGAGGAAGTGGTGGAGGCGGGTACAATTACAACATGTAAAAGACATTTGGACAGGTACGTGGATGGGAAATGTTTTGAGGGATATGGGCCAACTGTAGGCAAATGGAACTAGTTCAGTTTAAGAAACCCGGTAAGCATGGGCAAGATGGGCCGAAGGGTCTGTTTCTGTGCTCCATGACTCTATGCCTCAATGGGGTTGACTCTTACCTGCCCTCTGAAATGGCCCTAGCAAACCACTCTGTTGTATCTCCAGCTCCTTAGGGCAGCCGCAATGGGCAATAGATACTTACCCTACAAATGAAGCTTTCTGCTTGGAAGGGCATGTTCACCCGTGCCCCAACCAATTCAGGACATTGACGGTTCTACCCTTTTCTTTTCCCAGGTCACGGCGAACGTGGAGAAGGCCCTCACTCTGTTTGGTCAGCTGCTCAACAAGAAGGTCTTCCTGTTGACCTTCATCCGCACCCTGGAGGCTCAGCGAAGCTTCTCGATGCGTGACCGGGGCAATGTGGCCTCCCTGATTATGACCGCCCTCCAAGGCGAGATGGAGTACGCCACTGGTGTCCTCAAGCAGCTCCTCTCGGACCTGATAGAGAAGAACCTGGAGAGTAAAAACCACCCGAAACTGCTGCTGAGGAGGTGAGTCTGAGGAGGACATCCAGGAGAAATGGATGCCACCCCCAACTCTCCAATAGCCATTAAACATGGTGACATGAATAACCCCCCCCCGCCTTATCATCTGATTGATTCCAGCAAAATGTCGGTGTGGTGTCTGGGGTGGAGTGGGGGGGGACCCATGCCAGATTTTGGATAATTTCAGGTTTGAGTTTGGGCAGTTCGAACTGTGAGCAGTGCAGGTCAAGATGGTTATGTGGCATCAAGGATGGCAGACTAGAGTCGTGGATGATTGGGTACCTAGTCAGGAGCCAACTCAGTACCTAGCCCAGGCAAGTCCATTGGACCATGAGACCACAAGAAATAGGAACAGGAGCAGGCCGTTCGGCCCCTTGCGTCTGCTCCACCTTTCAATAGGATCATGGCTGATCCGACATTCCTCACATCCACTTTCCAGCCCTTTCCCCTTGGTTCCCCGACTGATCAAGAATCCATCTCAGCCTTAAATATACGCAAGGACTCTGCCCCCACAGCTCTGAGGCAAGGAGTTCCAAAGGCTCTCAATCTTCTGAGAGAAAAGAAGTCAAAATCTTTAAGGATTTTACTTCATGAAGGAAAGTCATGGACAATGTCTGGTATCTGAGCTAACTGGATATGAGGCATCCTACCCCTAGTGCCATGTTTCTTCACTGTGGGAGGAACATCATTTAGTGGCAAGCCCAGCTTCCAGAGCACAACTTCAGCTTGACTTGCAAATTGAAAGGTTTTGCTATGTTTTTTGAATTTTCCTTGAGTACTCTGTTCACTTCTGGGCAATGGAACTCAGGAGGGCTGTACTGGCCTTGGAGAGGCTTTCGAAATGCATTAGAATGGCCCTGGGCTGGACGGGGTTTAAATTATGCAGACAGGTTTCCGAGACTAAACATGTACTCCCTTGGGTTCAGGAGGTCGAGAGACATGAAATTGTTTGAAGGTGAAAAGGATTTGGTGGGGAAGGTATGGAGAAATGATCTCTCCTGGTGGGCAGTCAAGAGTTAGGAGATATTCTTGATAGGTTTTAGGGAATTCATAAAACGTGCAAATGGGGTCAGTTGAAATAGCGAAGGATGAAATTTTGTTGGCAAGGCTACTGTAGGATAGGGAGCAAAGGCCGTACAATGGAGTTGAGGTGCAGATCAGATTATGCAATTGAACGGTCAAGCAAGCCCAAGGGGCCGAATGGCCTGCTCCTCAGTGAGGTTACCAACTGCAGAGGGCAAACTGAGAGCAATGCAGGGATAAAATAGTAATTGAAGCCTAACAGTGATTTCATTTTTGAAGTGATTCCTTTATTGACACTTCTATTTGCTGGAACAGGGTCAGTGCTTCATGAGGCAGGTAGGTGGTAGGGTCTGTGACAAACCAAGGGAGGGAAACAGGCTCCAAGGTGAAGGCATTCAGTTGTTGTGTTGATCCATGAAACGTCTCAATAATTTCAGCCTGCTGCCCCAGAGGGCAGGGGCAGGAACCAAGGAATGGACCGGAGAATAATTCTCCCACTTGACTTTACTGGGTCCCTGTTAACAAGCAACATTGCTTTCCTGTCCATTTTCCCAGGGCAAGATGGCGGTGCAGTGGGAATACCGCTGGACTGCCAACTCCAAGGCCGAGGCTGGTGATCTGAGAGAGAGTCAGAATATCCTTTATTGTCACGTGTACTCCCTGGTAGGGGTACAGCGAAAAGTTTTTACGATGTCTGCTTCTTATGGCGCCATCTTAGGTACAAGTCCCGACCTACAAATCTTGGATACAAAACAGGAATGAGAGGTAGCTGCATTACACCACCGGACCCGAAACGTTAACTCTGATTCCTCTCTTCACAGATGCTGGCAGACCTGCTGAGCTTTTCCAGCAACTCCTGTTTTCGTTCCTGATTAACAGCTTCCGTAGTTCTTTCGGTTTTACCTTAAGTAGTTGCATTACTTTCCAGAGTTTAAAAAAGTAAGTTAAAATTAAGACCTCATAAAAAGATTGACATTACAGCCAGGTTTAAACAAAACACATTCACATAAACATTACATTGTAGCAGCTCAGTGCAGGACCTCAGAACATGGTCTGACCACCCGGGCCAAACCCCAGTCCAACTGCTCTGATCCAAACCTCCAGCCTACTCCATACTGGCACTAAAGTGCTCCAGGATATGTTCCAGAACAACTTCACCCACACCCAAGGAACGCTGACTTTGCACTGCTCTGGGACTCACTGCCCACACACTGCTCCGGGACTCACTGCTCACACACTGCTCCGGGCCTCACTGCCCGCACACTGCTCCGGGACTCACTGCCCGCACACTGCTCCGGGACTCACTGCCCGCACACTGCTCCAGGACTCACTGCCCGCACGCTGCGCTCCGGGACTCACTGCCCGCACACTGCTCCGGGACTCACTGCCCACACACTGCTCCGGGACTCACTGCCCGCACACTGCTCCGGGACTCACTGCCCTCACACTGCTCCGGGACTCACTGCCCACGCTCTGCTCCGGGACTCACTGCCCACACACTGCTCCGGGACTCATTGCCAGCGCCTGCAGCTGCTCCAGGATTCGCCTCCAGTGCTAATGGGAGAGGAAAATAGAGAAAAAAAAGAAAAAGGAAGAAAAAGAACAGGTGGAGCAGAGGAGCTCTTACTCTTCCACCATCTTACCATATAATACTGGGTTTGTGAGTTCAAATCCCACTGTGCCCTCAGTTAATTAATTTAGTTTTGATAGTGATTGTGAAACACTCAGCTATCGTGGTAAGGACAAAACCTTGTTTACTTCTGCCAGAGAATGTGTCACCCTGGCCCACAAGTAACTCCAGACCCATGGTAAGGATGTTGACGCTTAACTGCTCTGGCCGGGTGAGATGCTTGATTCAAGGGCAATTTGAGATGGGCAAAAGTATTGCCAGTGAGGCTGACATCCCAGCGAAAGAATGAAAGATTGTGATGCAGTGGTACAGCGCCAACCTCAGAGCTAGGAGGCCCATGCTCAGGTCTGGCCAGCTCCAGAGTTGTGCAATAACATTTCTGAAGAGTTGACAATATAAAAACAAAACAAGAGAGCTGAGTTCTTATGGGTGGTCACCTCGGGGCCTGGCATGTGTTACCTCCTCCTCGATCTCCATTGCAGTTCAATCCCCTCCCTCTTTTCCTACCCTTCCTCCAGTTTCTCTTGTTGCTGCGCTGCCCCCAGTTATGCATTTCCTGTTAATTGTTACAGTTTCATTCTGGTACTCAGTTATCTTGGGTGGCTGATTTTCGAACAAGAAAGAGCTAACTTTCTTTTGGGTGTTTGGTGGTGCGTTTCCCAAGACAAATGATAAAGAGCCGCGTTCTTTTGTAATTTGATTAGATTAGAAAATTGTTAAATTGGCACTGGGTCTAGGCCTGTACCAAGAGTGGGATTGACCATACTGGGTAGGGATGGCAGTAAAGGAGGCAGGTGGATGGAATTGGGATAATTGAATGATGCTATTGGCCCTCTTGTGGCACAGTGGTAGTTTCCTTACCCTGGACCACAAGGCCTGGGTTCAAGTCCCAGCTGCCCCAGAGGTGTGTAACAACATCTCTGAACAGGTTGATTAGGAAAAAGAGGTTAATAACAAAAAAGGATTGAACAGGCTTAACAGCCTCCTTTAATGCATTTGCAAAGAGATGAAGATGCAGTGCACCATCAGTTGGAATATGATAAATAAAACATTCCGCACTAACAGAACATGAACATTTCCATTCCTGTAAATGTGAACAGTCTTGGCAGGAGCTTGGTGCTGGCTGCGTTTAAACGTCAGCCTGCTTTCACTTGTGATTCTCATCGTCAACCTCACAGGCTCCTTGTACGAAGATGTGAAGCATTAACTCACTCTGGAACTCATTAATGTACAATCCCAAGACACCTCATTTGCAGCAACTGCGGTACTCAGATGTGTAAGCATGTCCTCCAGGGCCTAAGAGAGGAAAGGTTGCAGCTGAGTAGGGCAACCAACTTGTACGTAGAATGTCAGTGTAGAAGCAGTAGGAAGGTTGGCTATTTTCTTATTGTCTAAGATGGCAGATGTGGAATAAATTGGGGGGAAATGATTGGGAAAAATCGACTGGCAAACTCCCAAAGTGGCTTCTGCTCAGGAAAAGCTTTCAACTTATTCCACCCCTTCATCCATCCAAAATTGTAGCTGTACAGTCAGAGTCATAGTCACAGAGCCATACAGCACGGAAACAGACCCTTCGGTCCAACCAGTTCATGCCGACCATAATCCCAAACTAAACTAGTCCTACCTGCCTGCGCTTGGCCCATATTCCTCCAAACATTTCTTACTCATGTACTTATCCAAATGTCCTTTAACTGTTGTACCTGTACCCACAGAGGAAAGTGATGGCCTAGTGGTATTGTCACTGGACCAGTTGACTCAGATAATGTTCTGGGGATTTGGGTTCAAATGCCTCCATGGCAGATGGTGGAATTTGAATTCAATAAATATTTGGAGTCAAGAGTCTAAAGAGTCAGGGGAAAAAAAAAACATCTGGTTCACTAACGCCCTTTAGGGAAGGAAACTGCCATCCTTACCTGGTCTGGCCTACATGTGACTCCAGACCTCATTCTGGGAATGAATAAAGGAAAAATAAAAACATCCACCACTTCCTCTGGAAGTTCAGTCAACATATGAACCACTCTCTGCTTAAAACAATCGCCCTGTATGTCTTTTTTAAATCTTTCTCCTCTCACTTTAGAAATATGCCTAGTCTTGAAATCTCCTACCCCAGGGAAAAGACACCTGCCATACATCTTGTATATACCCCTCATTATTTTATAAACCTCTATAAACCTCAGCCTCCTTCACTCAGGTGAAAAAAGTCCCAGCCTAATCAGCCTCTCCTTATAACTCAAACCCTCCATTCCTGGCAACATCCTGGTAAATCATTTCTGAACCTTCTCCAGCTCAATGATATCCTTCCTATAACAGTCCTTCCACTTTAGTTTTGTAACATCCATCTGGACCAGAGTAT